ATATATATATATATATATATATATATATATATATATATATATATTTATATAATTATTATAATATTATAATATGTATATATAATTTTATTATATTAAATTATTATGAATTTATGTTAAATATAAAATTTCTTTTTATATTTAAATAATTATCTATTTGCCATCAATAAAACATTGTAATTAGTTCTTAGTTATTATCTATAAAATTAATTTAAATTTGTTATATCATTTGTGAGTTATTAAATATAAAATTTACTTATTCTACAATTCAATATAATTGAAATAATTATATTAATGATTTTTTTTTTCAAACAAAAGATATACTTGTTTATAATTCATTTTCATATATATATATTTGAATCATCGATATGTAATACCACGTGTACGATAAAACGGTACTTTAGATTAAAAATAAAATAACACGATCATGGAAATGGTAGTTCGACGACACACCTTGCATTGATTGATTGCAAGCTAATTTTCCTTTCACAAGGTGCCCTACATTTACACAAACTCACACATACAAACATACAAACATACACAAACACAAAGCAGAGCCACGTTACGAAGAACGAGGCCGACTACTGAAATCATATCGATTCATTCGACTCGTGGCTTAAAAAAAAAAAAACAAAAAAAAAACAAACAAAAACAAAAAGAAAAGTGAAAAAATATAGGTGACACAACTTCGTTCACTTTTTAATTAATATTTTTCTCTACTTTACATTTAATTGTTAAATCATTTACAACGAATATACGCATAAATGTGTATCACTTAATAACACGTTATTATACTTTGTCCAATTATAGTTAATTACAAATAATTAAAATACACATTTATATATAATAATACAATTTAATAATACGTAAAAACATAATAAACGTTATTACAAAAGTAACACATTCTTAAAATAAACGTTTATCGTGTATATTCGATGCAATAACCATCATCTGATCAAACAAACCACGAACAAACATCGTCATTTTATTACAAGCAAAAAAATATGTTTAACGTGTGGTTTGAACCAATGTGTGTGGTTTACACACACAAACACACATACACACACATATATATATACTGATGCTTATGTAGAGATACACATACAGATAAAAAGAAACAATCACACCTTTAACCTTTGCTTACCACCCTTCCTGGAGTAACACGCTTACCACTCCGGGTCCAACGGACCCCGACGAGAAAAATCGTTATAAAAAAAAAACTATTGCATAGATTTACTTCAACATTTTTTTGAGACTTCTTTAATACTTACTTAAAAAGATTATATAGGTTTTATAGCTTTAAATTAAATTTAAATATGTTTACAAAATTACCAAAGTTGAATAATTGAGAAAAATGACACAAGTTGCAAAAAAGATCTGGGTCCTTTGGACCAAGTGTGGTAAGCAAAGGTTAAGCTTTGATTTTTCTGAGAAACAGAAGTGTTCGTTGTTTTAAAATTCAACTAACGGTGTTTGACGAAAAGAAGAAGAAAAAAAAAAAAGTCGAAGTGAACCTTTCAATTTGTTTTCACATCACGAGGGAGGTATCGACAAAAAAATACACTGTACTTACATACTATATATATATATATATATGAATTACCGTTTAAACGGAATACTGTAACATGTACGAGAAGTAAAAGAATGTCGTGCAACGGTAAAATACGTTTTTTTTAATGTTTTTTTTTTTTATTTTGTCATAGTTTACTCCACCTTCACTTCATAGAAGTAGAAGAAGACCTAACCTTGGGTTTGAACTAATCGGTGCGTGGAATTTAATGACCATAAAATCGTAAGTTCAAAAGATTAAACTTTTCCAAGACAATGGTCATCGTCAAGATTTCATTTTTGGCTATTAAATTTCATCTTATTCTTATTTTATATTAATTATAAATGAAATTTTGTTTTATTAAAAAAAAAAAAAAAATATTAAAATTAACAAATAAGAAACAAAAATGAATCAAAATATTAAACTCGTTTAGTTGTTCTAATCGAATTAAATAATTTTATAAAATTTGTTATATTCGTTTATAGATAATTTTCAAATGAAAAAAAAAAAAAAAATAATAAATCAAATAATAAATTTCATTGTCATAATTTTAAAAAAACATTATTATAAATTCGCGTAATATTCACATAAAAAAAAAAATATATATATATATATATACATGTACATACATAATGTTATATACATAATTTTCAAATAAAAAATAATAAATTTCATTGTCATAATTTAAAAAAAAAAAAAAACATTTTTTATTAAAAATTCATGTAATATTGAAATAAAATAAAACTATACAAGATAGTGAAACTATTGTTTTGTGTAATAAAGTGTAATACGAAACTTTCATTTATCTTTCATCTTACACGCGACAAATGACTAAAAATAAGAAAGATTTAATGATATGTAAACACCATAACTCGTTAAACTTATGTTAGCGTGAAACTATATTACCCATATAAATACATAATAATGAAACACATCGTATTATAACATCAAACATATCTACCGTAATCAAACTGTAACATGTTGCACCAACTGCTAACTAATTTTATGGTTAACGTAGCATAACACGAAAGTGTGTAAAACACAAAAAAGAAATACGAATTCTAATACAAGAAAGTGCAAGTGCGTCACACACACTGTAATCTTCTCTTTGATACCATGCTGGATGATTAAACGCCATTGATAAAACAATTATTGTATAGTATCTTATCTTATTTTGCTTTGGTTTATGATTGTGCTGCATTACATCATCGTGTATTCGTTTAAAATTGATTTTATCAATCTCAGACAATAATTATTTCATGTAAAAAAAAAAAAACAAAAAAAAAATATTTTCTTAATTGCGAAATATAATTTTTACGAAAAATGATTAATAAGCAAATCACGCGATACGTTTAATGTGATACAATAAATCAAAATAAGAAACAACAGTTTTGTGATCTGTAAAAAACCAACAAAATGTATTGATATTAAAAAGGAATGTATATAAATGTATATACATATGTATGCAGGTAGATACATATATATATATATATATATATATATATATTATATACATAGTAATAGACTTTTGTTGGTATCGCATACTCGATTTTCTTATCTGTAACTTTCTCTTAAAGCGGTTTACATTTACATAACGGGGTTCGCACCGACTGTAATAGTTCTTCTTAAAATGTCACATATTAGATTCGTGTGTTTCGAAACGTTGAGAATATCGATTAATACGTCATAAATATTATACGTGTTATATGGTATTTATAGTATTAAATATCAAAACATTATTATTATTATTATTATTATTATTATTATTATTAAATTTTGTAATACATTAAAAATTTATTCCTAACTAATTATGTTACTTTAATAAAATATAATAATAATAATTGTATGGGTCAATAAAAAAATAAAATAATAATTTAACAAAATTATAAATATCATATGTGTTATATGTTATTTATATTATTAGGTATCAAAATATTATTATTATTATTATTATTATTATTATTATTATTAATATTATTAAAATATTATTATTATTATTATTATTATTATTATTATTATTATTATTATTATTAGATTTTGTAATATTAAAAATTTGTTTTTAACAAAACATGTTACCATAAAATATATTAATAATAAATATATAGGCCAAAATAAAATAATAATCTAAGAAAATTATAAATAATATATGTGTTATATATATGGTACTTATAGTATTAAAATATTATTATTATTATTATTATTATTATTATTATTATTATTATTATTACTATATATCATTGCAATTAAAAATTAATTCCTAACTAATCATGATACTTCAATAAAATGTATCAATACCATAAAATATATTAATAATAAATGTATGGCACCACCACCCCCCCCCCCAAAAAAAAAAAAAAAGCAAATGAAAAAGGGTATAGAGGAGAACATAACACACAAAAGAGTAGTAATTTCTTCTTCAAGGAGACGAATTGTACAATCCATTCGTGAACTCATGACCCAAGAAAAAGGAGTGTCCCTCACGAGATGGTAGAATCCTCTGTGTAGTAGTAGTAGTAGTAGTAGTAGTATTCAACCATTTCTTTCTACCTTTCTCTACCTTCGTTTTACAATTCGTCTCTCGTATTTGAGATCAGGTTGTTCGTTTTACATTTCGTTTCTCGTATTTGAGATCAGGTTGTTCGTTTTATAGTTCATCAAATAAATCAACTAATGTCAACTTTAAAGACCACTTTATGTTCCTTTTTTTTCTCTTTTTTTTTATCTTTTCATCTATTATCTGTTCTATTATTTTACAGTTAACGAAAAAAAAAAAATCAAATATTGGAAATCAATATACTTTGTATAATATTTCAGAGAGAGAGAAGTACGATTTGAATTTATTTTATTTATACAATTTCTAATTTAATTGTAAAAGTAATATATAATTCTAATGTTATTACACATGTTTCCACTTTTTTATTTTTTTATTTTTTTATTTTACCATTTCTAATTAATATGCATCAAATATTCTCCCAGTGATTTTTTTTTTTTTTTTTTTTTTAAATTGTGAATGTCTAAATTACCTGTTCTCTCATGACGCTTTCTATTATTACACATAAAACTATATTTTCACGCGACTGGTAAACGAG